AATTATTTTGTACAAATAGACATGTCAATAACTTTCGAGAAACCAATATCCGATCTGTCAATCGAAAAAAAGACATTAGGTCTAAGATGACGTATTTTACTTCATAGATAATAAACAACATTGATTTCTTCCTTAAACAGCAATTTAATACAAAGAGAAATATAAATAAAATATCAGTATCCTAGATTAGTTTCCTAAAGTTATCATAAAATATTAGGATAATTATTTTAATTTTTTTTTAATAATCTATATATGGGTGATTCTCACGAAATATGACAATTCACTGTCTCTTGCTCCAGGATCTAATACTATAATACTAAAAGAACTTTTTTTCGAAAAAATTAATAAATTCCATTGCTGTTAGCATTTTAAAATGACTTTGCACTAGCATTGACTGTCTTGTATAGTTAAAAAATTTAATTGAACTTCACAATGTCATTTTCCTGGCATGTCCCAAACAGTGCTTCTTATAATAACTTGCTTCAAAACTTCCCATAAATTTCACAATTTCTAATTTTTTTTATCTCAACTGGTGCAAGCATTTCTAGAATATACGCAGAGGGTATTATTTACAAAAACTTCGTTTAAAATACTTTTTTCTGTTTATAATTTGTTTGTCCCAAGAAAATCTGCGATTTTCCTGTCTACTTTTATTTAGTGGTTTATAACCAAAATAAATAGAGTCAGCAATCAATATCTTATGTTAATAGATTGATTAGATACCCTCCTATATGAAAATGCCTTGTTGCATGAATAAAGAACCAATTTTCTGGTTCAAAATCTATTTCAAAAAATTTTTCAAGGTGAGTAGGCTTTTGTGTTGTCATTTTACTGGCTTCTTTAAATCATTAATAACATAAACTACATAGATTTATCTAAGTTATTTTAAGAAATCCTGTTGTTTTCTGCAGAATGTAAACATCTTAGGACAAAATATTAAATTAAAGTAAAGTTACATGCTATAAAAGGGCGAATTTGTCATTACCCTGGCTGTCATTTTCCTGACTTTTGAATTCCAAAACATTGAAGTGCTACCAAAAAATTTTTTTAACTGCTAATACTGTAACGAGGAAAAGCAAATATTAACCTAATACCAAGTTTATGTAGGATTGTAATATGGTTAGATGTAATCAAAGCTATTTATTTATTCAATGACTGATTATTATACACAATTTTATTTTGTACATATCAGCAACAAAAAAAAAATTTGATTCTTTATACAGTGGATAAAAAGAATTAATTTAAGCAATTTATGGTCCATCTAACATAAAGGCTTAAGTTGAGTTAAATGTAACTAAAGAAGTAGACAAAAAAATTTTAGACTATTTTTTTACTTTAAATTTGAAAAATCTTTTTGGTCCGAATTGTCATGTTTAAGAAGAATCACCCATATATGTTTCTCTTATTTGGCACCATATGGTCGGGTATTTTTCTATCTATTTGCTATACTAGAGTTATTATTCATTTTGTTAGATTGTTCTAAGTAATAATTTAGGTAATACTGAATAGTTAGTATACGTTAAGTTACTAACTTAACATATAATTTTCGTTAGAATACTGCGTTAGAATAATTTTCTATTTTCATAGAAATAAAATCTGCGAAGAATCTAAGATTTTATAGAAATAAAATCTTAGTTACGAAATAATAATTTAGATTTACTTTTGATCCTTTCTGAAAAGGCTGAAAAAAATTTAAACGATAAACAGTACTATAGTTGCATACTGTCATACAAATTATTATACAAATTTCTACAAATACCGTGAAATAACGCATATATATATACTAATACTTCAAATACTTCTATATAATACTTCTGATATTAATATTTCTGTTGCATACTGTACAGAAATATCCCTAACTCATACTTACGGGGCTGCCGGATAGTTTTTAAATCTTTACTAAAATTCAGTATAGAAAGAACTTTGATCACATCTCTTTGAACATCTCTTGAAAATAGTTGTAATAGAAATCAAAGTACTTCTGCATGGGTAAAGCCGAGGGCAACATATAGACGTAGAAAAAAATTTTTTAGATGATTGTTTAAAACTTATATAGGTGTTAGGATTGGAGGAGGGGTTATAAAATTTGAACATTCAAATGCAGTTGTGCTACGCATTCAGATAGGTTACCTTCAAAGCTTACATGCTGTACAAGATAGTTTTGAAAAGTGACCAAGCTGGTCACCAAAAGTGACTACTAAGTAATAAAAAACATAAAAAAGTTAATTGTTTTCATAAAATATTTTTCTTTACATTAAAACTATTAGAAACTTCTTGCTCCTTAGTAATTATTTTTTGACGTTGATAAACCTCAATGATAATAAAAACGAAGCAAAGTTTTGCTAAATAGTTTTAATGGATAGAAATTTTCAAAAAATATCGCAATTTTGGATAAGTTTTAACTTTATAAATATAGATTTTTTTTTAACACTCTGTAGTATAAAACACTTTTTACCACACAAAATCGTTACATCCAATTTATATTAATAACCATTTTTGAACCCATTGAAATTAGATAAGAAAATGCTACGAAATAATTTTTAGTTGCAAATTAATATTAAAAAATAATGCTATGGACTGTAAAACAACAATGCAGTGAATGTTATTAATGAAACTTCTTACATTTACAGTAAAACGAGAGGTAATATAAATTCAGTAATTGCGAAATTATGTTTTGCCACTTATTTGTTGTTTATTTCATTCTTTAATTAACAATAATAATTTTTTATTATTTTTCTTTATTTATGTTAGTTTATAACATTTATGATATTGTTTGTTTAAATTTGAAAAGTAATGTAATCTGTTTTACCATACCATTCTTAAATTTTCGAGAGTAACAAAAATATGTTTATACATCAGCAAAATAATTAAATAAACATGCACGTACATGCACAACGCAATCGAAGAATGATGAGCATATTTTTTCAGATATCATACTATTTAGTACAAATTCTTATTTGGATCTTGTGTTTCTATTAGCTTAAAAATATTTATTCTAAGTTTGGAGAAGGAAGGATGAATTATTTTTTAACATATTCTGTTACTCTGTTTTTCACACTTATTTTAATCTGGTGTCAATATTAGTTTCAACTCAATTTTATTTCTGTATTTATTTTTCTATAGATTAAACAGATAATTAAGTATACAAAGCTTTCGGCAGTTTTCAATATGAACAGAATTCTAAGTAAAATTTGAGTATAAATTGTTTGCCTTTTTACGAAAAACGTATACAATAAAAATTTCCACTTGCAGCTTTTTAGATTTGTTTTTCTGTCATACCTGTAGTTCTTTAATTTGAATTGAATGCTTTAATGGATTTTAATCTTCGTCACGTAAGTATAACTAAATTACTATCCAAATTTCAATTACCTAAATTTACTACTGAAAGCTATTTCGTTGAAAATGAATTTCTCTCAGCAAATGTACCAATTCATCATTATGAAATGACATTTACTTTATATTTTTCAAAAGACCCAAGTGCATTTGAAGTTTCCAAACACAATGTTTCGTGCTTATAACATGTTTCATTTGACACGATTTTCACTTTGATTCGTTTTTAGGTTAAAGAAGAAATGAAATAATTTGGCGATAAAAACTGCCTGGTAACGTAAATGTCTGCCAAACAAACAGTTCACTGGATACTTAATAAAGACGTCTCACTTAACCTTTACATTCTAAATAAAAATTATAAAAATATAGTTAATTTATGACATGTTGAGTGAACTGGCTGTGTTATATTAAAATGTATGCGCTAAAACAAATTTAATACAAAACTTTTTTAGTTAATTATCTTAAAAGTGTGATATATTAAAATTCTTTGTTCTTTCATATTGTTTTGGCAATTAAAACAGTCATTTTCAAGAACGCTGATGCTTAATTTATGCAAAATTTAATAAAAATAAAGAAAATACAATTTTTGAGATTAATGTTAATTGCAACACTTTAGTCAATGAATTATATGCTTATATTTAATAAAAAAACAGCTCTCTAAGTGTTTAATAATTTTTTTCTTACTTATTACGCCCGTAAATTAAAAGAATCCATTTAATGCAACTACATGAATTCGATTTTCTTTTTCCGCATGTTACAGAAATTTATTTATCTTCGTACAATGTCATGCCTTCTCATTGGATAAAATAATCACGTGACAGTATCTTCAATAATGAAGGAGATTAAGAAATCTTTGGCTGCCAGCAGAATATTTTTTATAAATTAAAGCAGTACTTACTTGTAAATTTATTTCTTATTTAACGGTATTAATTAGTTATATTTACTTGCTATGCTTCTTAATATTATTCTCTTCTATTATTAAATTAAACACATTCAACTGTCTCATTAACCAATATATTTCAGTATCATTAGTCTATTGATTTGATTTAACTCTTTTTAATATCGTGCCTTTCGAATGTAGTTGTAATTCTAACGCAGTTTGTATATTTAATGAAAAAAAATTCCAAGTACATTTAAATCAATACTGTTAAAGTAGTAATGAAGTTAAAGTAGTTGTAATGAAGTTAAAGTCACTAATTTTAGCGTTCATTAAAGTAACAAATAAGCAATTTTTAAAATAAAGCATATGAAAAAGTCTTAGAATAAAGTGTTTAAACAAATATATTAACTTAATATATATTTATTTAATCACTCTTTTCTTCTGTTTTCTATACACATTCTTTTTACATCTTTGCAGTTTAAATGCGGTGATTTAATATGTTTTTCTTCATAAAAAGTTATCTATGTTATTATTTGCAAACTCTAAACATATTGCTTCAATAATTTTGCATTAAAAACATATGTATTTAGATAAAAAATATGATTTAAAATCAAAAATTTTATTCTTTATATGTGTTGATTGGTAAACAAAAATAAATAGTCCTGACTAAACAAATATTTATTTTTAAAGGGGGTAGGCGAACTTTCCTTTAAAATAAATATTTTTTTTTGTCTCTTAGGCTTTTTTTCCCTCTACGTATTATTGTATTTTTGAATTCTATTGTGATTTCTTTTTACAGAAATGTCCTTGGAGATAAAAAGCGGCCCCATGCTTTGGCACAAAAGTAAGTATTTCTTAATACTAACATTTCTATTCTTCCTTAAAAAAATTCATAATTCATTTAATTTTCACTACTTGATATCACGAGAAGTAATTTTTTGTTTTATTTACATAATTCGATATTATTAGAAGTAATTTCTCATTATATTTATACTGTTTTATATCATGGGAGGTAGTTTCTCGTTTTATTTACATGATTTAATATTTTATGAGGTAATTTCTTATTACATTTACACTATTTGATTTATATTTACACTGTTTGAAGGGAGGGATGGACTGGCCCACCGGGATACCCGGGACTTATCTCTGTGCGCCCTCTTAACTGGCGCCCAACAACTTGGTTACTTTCGGTTGAAATAAATTAAAAGAAGAAAAATCAGGGGGAAATATTATAAATGAATGATTTGAAATAAAATTCTATTTAATCGTTCACCCTTTTCAGATTGTATACTCCTCTCTTAGGTTAAAAAAAAACAAAATTGTTCCATTTGCCCGCAATGAGGGTTGTTGTAGTTCATTTACGTCGCACTAGAGCTGCACAATGGGCTATGGGCGATTGTCTTGGAAACATCCATGAGGATGATCCGAAGATATGCCATCAGGATATGCCAACGAAGATTTTGATCCTCTGTGGAGTGGATGACGCCCCCTCTTCGGTACCCCACTACCTGCACGCGAAGTTGAGCACTTTACTGTAGAACAGTTTAACGAGGACCCATACCTCACACCCTCGGTCCCTACGCAGACTGATCCAAGTGGTCACCCGCACACTGAACGCAATCAGTGATGCTTGACTTCGGTGATCTGCTGGGAACCGTGTCTTAACGATCAGTCCACAGCGGGACGACCACAATGAGGGAGCAAAGAGGTTGTAGTTCTTAACAAAACCGCCGGTAAGTTCCTAAAAACTAACAACCACCCCATCTTGATCAATTTTGTTTCAATCGGAAACAAAATGTTCCGATAGAACCTTCTGTTCATTAAAAATCTTTCTTTCAAGGGAGCTTGATCTTTTCTTTGGCTGAAAATGCCCACCAAATCATTCCTTTACACGTCTCCCACCGAGGTGATAGACATTCCTTTGATGACCGATAGGAAAATACTTTAATTCAAATGTCTCCACGCGTCATATCTTTATTGCTTCAGGAAAAGTGCTGTTGGACTCCTCTCAGAGCTTTTAATTTTCTCCCCCAGGGGTATATATCTGCATGGTCCTTTATCTCCGAATTTCAGGCGCAAATTTCTTATTTCTACCTGTGGAAATTTTCTAGGGGGCTTTCTTTTGCTGAAGAATTGTTAATAAGAAACCCACAGAGAAATACAATTTTAAACTTCAAATGAAATCACAAGGAAGCCCAGGCTTTTTTGTCCTTCTCTTATAAGAGTTTTGCTTGAGCTCATCACTAAAAAATTCTTTCCCTCCAGCCACCTACTGAGTTAAGAAAATAGTTACTTACTTTTTTCGAATCGTCAAATGCAATTATTCATATATGTATTAATTATTTAACATTTATATTGTGTTACCTGTAAAAGATGAATTGTTTGGGTCATTAATAATTGAAGAAGTTTTATTATAAACTTATTTTAGAAAAGGCACTCAATTTTATTTTTAAGAATGATTTTTTTAATGGGTGGTCATAGTTATTAGTCAAGAAGATATTTAAAATTTGTTTAAGATATTTGAAGTAACAATAATATATTTCAAAACTATCGAAATCTACTTTACTTTTATACTTCATGCTGGAATTTAATAATTAAAATTAAGAATAATAAAAATAGATGTGTATCACACAACACTTATTAACAATTTCCTATTTCTTATTTCACAACACTTATTAACAATTCTTTTAACTCAAGTTAAATGTAAAAGATTGTTCTTTAAACTTAAAATCATCAAGTCTCGTCTTTGTGGATGATTAATATTTAGAAGTACCTGTTATTATGGTTACTAAGAAAGTCATATTGAATTCCTATTAAAAGTGACGGTATTCGTGTGACATCAGTTCAGAAATGTTTAAAAAGACAACCAGTTTTAACTTTTTAAAGCAACAATCTTAGTTCTTTATAAAATATTACTTTAACCTGCAGAACCTTTTTTTTAAATATAAATATTACAAAATTAATGTATTTTATTCTATTATACTAGTTAAGGTTGTAGAAAAGTTTAGTAAATATTTTACCAACTCTTACGCTTGTTAGTAAAGGCAATTTATTGATACATCTGGAAAAAAAATTCTTTTTTTGAAAAATTTTCTAAGGATTTATAATAATATTATTTCTAGATTAGTGTTATTCAAAATTTTAAGTTAGTTGTTGCGCTTCTGTCATTAAAATTTCAATTTTAATTTATGATTTATTTATTTGTACTTAATATATTCAAAAAATTTAATAATTTGAAATAATTTAACTACTAGAGAACTACTAGAGAAATTCAAATTAAATTTTCCAATTTATCATATACACATACACCGAAGAGCAATTACAATATGACCACCCTGCTAATGTAGGACCACCTTTAGCTCTCAAAACTGCTAGCACCCGCAGTGGCATTGATTCCACAAGGTACTGATAGGTAGTCTGAGTTATCTGGTACCAAGCGCTCGCCAACTGGTCCTGCAATTCCCTCACAAATGCGAGGGGGTAGCGTGGCAGCACGGATTTGGTTTTCCAAGTAAGACCACAAATGCTCTATTAGATTAAGGTCAGGTGAATTTGGGGGCCAAGAAATGACTTAAAAGTCACTGGAAAGTTCCTCGAACCAATCCATGACGATTCGACCCTTATGACATGGTGCATTATCCTGTTGGTAAACACCATCCCCTGCAGGAAAAACTGTTGCCATGAATGGGTGAACCTAGTCTGTAGCTATGTTCAAGTAGCTTACAGACATCAGGGATTGTTTTATAAGGATTATGGGTCCTAATGTGCCCCATGAAAACATTGTTCCTGGGCGAGAAACCATGAAAACCTGGGCCAGCCCATTGTTATAGATGGAGGGTAATAATGTAATGGCTCTTCGGTGTATATATACTTACATACTAATATAAATGCAAGCATATCACACGGCACCCCCTAAAAATTGCATCTACCACCCTCCAGAGTATCCCAGTCCATCCCCGATGAGAGGAAACTGTTTATTTTATTTACACTTGATATCATAAGGGGAAATTTCTAACTTTACTTCCGAGGCTTGATATCATACGAGGTAATTTCGCTTTTCCTTTACATCATTTTGTTTCATTTAAGGTAATATCTCATTTTATTTATATGGTAAATAACGAAAGGTAATTAACATCTTATTTACATCATTTAATATTATTAGAGGTAATTTATCATTTTGTTTCCACTGTTCGATATCATTAGAGGTAATTACTCATTTTATTCACATTATTCGATATTATTAGATGTAATTTCAAATAATAACATTTCATACTTTGTTATCATTAGGTGATTTTATAACAGTAACAGCATATAATTTCAATCACTATGTATCTGAGGATATTTCGGAAGGAGCTTTAATTTTAAATACACATTTAAGAAACAGGAAAATCGGGAATCGTTTCTCCATGGATTAATCACAAAACTTGGCAGTGATCCCGTTTAATGAATAACTGTCAAGACTATTATAAATCATAGTAGTTCATTCATTTGTTCTCGTTCATTTTGTTCTTGGAAGTTGAAACACCTTTTACACATCATTTCATTCAGGTATTCAGTGTAAATGCCAAATTATAAGCTCATAGCAGTAGATTGTGTAACAAAAAAAAAACTCATCTGCAATGATTTGGCAGTTAAATTCAGTAACCAGTGTATACAGTGAGTTAGATAAATTAAGATACACTTAGCATTCTTAAGAAAATATTATTTCAGAAGGCTTTTTTTATGAAAATATAACAATGCATAGAAAAAGTTTATATTTAAAGTTTATATTTAAAGTTTATTTTTAAGATTTTTCAGTACAAAATTAACTGATATTTAATTGAATTGTTTAAATAAAGAGTTTAGTAACACATAAGTCACAATCAGCTGCATTTCGACAAACGGTATTATGTACACTTTTAAAATTGATTAAACATTGTCATTGTAAATTAAATTTGACGTGTAATTGAGGAAATTTTATGGGACTACAAGCGGTCGTGTTAACCGTATTTAGCGGTCGTGTTAACCGTAACAAATATGGGCTTAAAATAACCCCATAGATGTAAGTTTAGTAAAGTCAGTATGTTAGTATAATATTTTAAGATTTTCATAGAACACCAACGTTAAACTTCATACCTTATCTACATATATTAATATAAATTTAAAAGAGTTTATCATAACTACTTTGATATGGATGATTTAAATATGGGAACTATAAAAATTTATATTATTATATTTATGCTCCTTTAGCACTATGAAAAGTTAGAGGGGATAGAAATTTGATTAGGAGTTGGTATTTTGGAGCCACAATAAAATATGTAGATACATATTGTGCAGGTTTATGAAAATTGACCAATATTCAATATAATTGAACATTAAAATTATGCTGAACGAAACATATTTATGACAAAAACTTATTTAACTAAAAATATACGTTAACGTATTCGTATATAAGTTGGAATGGTGGAATTATGTTTAGAAAACTTTAACATGATTTTCTTTATATATATATATAT